TCTAATTCCAACTTCTTGTAAAAAGTTTTCTTGCTCTACCTGCTCCAACCAGTTAACCAAGTTCTAGCAATAAAATTGGCCCAAAGCTGTGAATTTGGATTTCAGAGATGGTCTTAAGATTTTAAGCCAGTAACAATAGAAGCAGTCAGATGCCCCCCAGAGCTACGTCCAGGGGAGCCAAACTAGCATTAACAGCACTGGGAAATATTTGCAGTAGTATCTTGAGTGTAGAAAAACCCCAGTGTTCCAGCACGCTGCTGTCAGTTCCCGTCTTGATGAGTTTCACCCAAGCATTTAACATTTTGGCATTAGTTCTGTGTCTCATAATGCCATTTATGTAATGAATGCTCATTTGGTTCCCATTAAAATAATGGTATTTCTTCTGCAAACCACTGCTTGTAAAAATCAAGCCACCCAGTTTCTCTTTAGATTGTAATAAAAGAAATAAATAGTAGGATACACGGTATAATTCTCAGAGAATGGGGGGATTTTCTTACCCCTCTTCAGCATACAAAATTCAGACATTGGAATTAGGAATGGGAAAGATCTGTTAAGGGTTGATGAATCCATCTCCTGCAAAAACACAGTGTAGTTACTCCCCAGCAGATGTTCCTCAGGTACTATATTGATAAAAGAGTCTACAGCTCTCCATAGTCATGGGGAGAGAGTAATTTCTCTCTTAAAACTGGAGAAATGGAAGGTGTAGTTTTCCTCAGGTCATCACAGTGCCACTATACTTTGAGACAGTATAGAATGATTCCTTATATTGTATATACCAGCACTTTGAGGAATTCAGTTTCAAATGTCTCAAACAATGGGGGTTTCACCGCTTCCTGTGGGAGCCTGCTTTGCAGCCTAACTCATTTCACCATCTGGAGCGTTTTCCTGAGTGTCTGCTCACTTTAAACTTTCTTTGAATTGTGTACCCACTATTTCTTCTTAAAGGTAATTTGCCAAAAGTTTCTGTTGTGTGAAATTCACGTTCTTTTTTATTTTTTATGGGGATTGAGAAAACTCTGAAAGATTAATGACTTCTTCCCTATGCTTTTTCTTCCTCAGAAATAATAATAAGTAATTAATAATATATTGCTGCTTTTTTAGCCGTTCATCTCGGCGATTTACAAGGAAGATCAACATTGTTGTACTCTTTTTACAGATGGGAAAACTTGAAGCCCAGGGCAGGAAACAACTTGCCTGAGATCATTCAATGAGCCCATAGCAAGACTTGGATTTTTAAGCAGTCTCCACAGTACTGCCCTACTTTTTTCTTACTTTTTTATTTTTTTGGCCCAGTCTAGTTCCCTTTGGCTTTGTTGGAGTACCTAGGAAGGACAAACTTTCCATGAACTTTATTCAGAGTTGCAATATTGTAGCTGAAAGTTCAGCTTGTTGAATATTTAACAGTTACTATCTTTCCAGTGTGTTGGTCAAGCATCCTAATTAAGCAGTGATAAATAAAACCAACAAAGCATTTTAACAGAGTAGTTCAGTCCCCAGGGCCCCCGAGCTGAATTTCCTTCAGCTAGCCTGTGTTTTCCCAGTTGTGGACTGTGCAGATTGAGCACAGTATATATCAAGCACACTCTTATCAGCACACTGCAGGGAGATTTCCTTCCTCCTCAGTGCCACCATGCTTACTTCACCTGTTGTATTTCCCTTAGCTTAGTGGTTTTCAGAAAGTGTGTTTCTCAGAATCTGGATAGTTGCTGAATTATAAATCTTCCAGTTTGGAATAATAACACCCCAATGTGTACAACATGATACCCTGGGTAGGGAGCCATCCTCAGCCGAGCCCTGAGCGGGCTTACCTGGGTGTCAGAAGCAGTGTGGCCTGAGCAGCACAGAGCTTTCTGTGGGCTGCCAAGAGATAGAGGGTTTCTCTTATTTGCCTTGAAGCTTCTACCTGTCCAGCCTGTCATTTCAGTGAATATCTTTGGTGGGACTGGAGGCACCAGAGCAGATGGTACGGTGAGTGTTGTTCCACATGATGTCTCCACATGGAGAGGTGAGGGCAGCCAATCCTGCATGCTTGCAGTCTGGTGTGCAGGGGCCTCGTAAGTGCCCCACGCTCTGGAGAGTGAACTGACAGCGCTCATCACAGATGAGGTGCAGCACTCTGTGTGGATTGAGAATTGAGAAATCAGGGATCTGGGTAGGCCAGAGTTAGAGCTGAGGGACAGCACACAGATCTTCCTGGCTGCTGACCATTGTCAAAGTATGCCAGCAAGTGAAGTCTGTAATGTTATTCCCCTTCTGCTCCTTCAGGCCTCCTTCATTCCAGATACCATGGCACCAGCATCTGAGGATTTACTGAAAGCCAGAGGACTGCTGTAGGTCACTGAGCACATTACCTTTGCTTTCAAATTGAGTTTGAGAAACTACCAGCAGTGTCAAGCCTGTGTCTCCTGGCTACGTGAATAGAGGAAGCTAAGAAACAACAAAGATTACATAAAGCAGGGAAATCCCCCTCAAATTCTCCCAGACTACCTCAAACTGAAGCTGATTTGCATACATACAGTACAAATAACTTTGCAATGGCTTCTAGCCCCATGAAAGGATTACATGTCCTTGCTTATAATGATATAATCAGGCCAGTTCTCCGAGTTGAATCACTCAGAGAAGATAAAAGATTGAATTTCCTGTGCAGGAATCTAAGCAGTTTTATGTAGTATCTAGGCCTGCTTCAGGTGCAGATCTGGGTATCACTATTCCACACAAAATCAGTGGGAACTGTTCAATACCTGTTAGTAACCAGCAGTTATTCTAGAAAAACAGTGTGGGAAAAAACCCTGTGTTATGTTTTATAATTTGTGATTATGGATGGGCGGTATCATACATAGCTTCCTATACCTGTTTGGTAGAAAATGGACTTTACTGTAAACTAGAAAAAAGCTATGGTATTCTAGTAGTTAAAAACTATGGTCATCCACCTTACAAAACCTGAGACTCGTATGGCCTGGAATTCCTGAGTGATTCTGTTCAAAAAGCAGTGGTGTTAAACAGACTTCCAAGATTCCTGTGATTTCTTTTAAACATCATGGTTTAACAGAAACAAACAGGTAAGCAAAAAGACAGCATATTGGAAATGCACATTTACTGGTTTATCTAAAGCTCAAAAATGTAGTTGGTTAATATGACACTACAGAACTATTTTTTGTCATCTTCTATGCACTAAGAATGATCATGTTCATAAGTCATCATCATGCCTATGGAATGCCTGGATTCTTGTTGAAGACAGGTGGTATTTTCTGTTCCCTTGCTTAGACAGTGGGGCTTGGGGCTTTGTTTGTTTGTTTGTTTGTTTGTTTGTTTGTTTGTTTGTTTTAATAGGATGAGAATATAGACTTCTCGGAGGCTGTTTCTTTGGAAAGAATTTCTTGCTCACTCTATCTTTTTATTGAAATAAGTTCTCAGATACATCTCCTGTCAGCCGTCTCCCAAAGCTAGATGGAGTATAGACAACTTCACTTATTCTCTCCCAGTAAATTCACAGAAGGGCTTCCTGTACATTTTTTGGGTTGTCAAGCCAGCTCTGTATTAACATTAAGTACATTTGGGTAATGCTGTAGATGCTTTACTGTAAATACCAAAGCTGTTTTAAACAGTCTTAGAGGTGCTTTTGTCAGTGCAGCATATTTCCCTTGAGGAATATGGGAAATGAGAGTTACCATCATTGTCAGTATGGTTATACCAGGACAGTTATATGAACAACTCTTCTCTAGTGCAGCTGCTTTTTGTATAGTTAATAAACAGGGCTAAAGAGGAAAACTGAGACTCCGTTTACTTTGACAACTTGTGTAACAAGCCTTACGTTTCTTCTACAATATCACCTCTGTTAGTCATGGCTTGTTACTGTGAAATATCCTACTTTTCACTTTCCTCCTTTCAGGTTTAGTCTAACTTTCTTCAAAGCTTTGGTACTGCACAGTAGGAACCCAGGTATGAGCTGGGTGTTCTGCAGAGTCCTTCAGGCACCTGAGGGCTCTCAATCGGTCATTTGGAGAGACTGGAAAAGAAATACCTATTTGAATAGGCCTGGGATGCCTTGCAATACAGTTCATAGCAGCAAACCTGAGGACATGATGTGATCTGACTGATAATTAGTACCTTGGATATTTTGGTCCTGGTAACTGCATGTGTTTTCTCAGCTTGTGTTCATCAGCTCACAGGTTGCTCAGGAAGGCTTTCATTTTGGTTTTGAATATTCCCTCTCACAAACAAGAGTCTGTTTGCTACCTAAAGTGTCTAATCACAGCCACATAATATCCTTCATTTACATAGAGAGCTTCATCCCAAAGCACTTCACAGCCTGGCATTGGCAGAGGACTAAGACTAGAAGAGGAGCAGCTTACACTGGTTGAGAAGCAGGCTCCGATCTCAGCCTAGATATTAATAAAGCATATAAAGTGGAGCCATAGTATTCTCTCTCAATCCAAGGCAATTTGCTATTAGTTAGAAAATATATTGCTATAAGCTGTGTTCTGTTCAACTCTAGAAAATGTATTTGGACTGTCAAACATGAGCTGTAGTAAAGAATGTCCATCTTCTTGCTCATCCCATTCTCTGTTCATAGGTACTGGCTACCAAAAGTCAGTTTTCTTGGAATATCAGGGTGGTGCAAAGTACCCTAGCAAGTACAGTATTCTCAGCAAACACATGCTGGCCTTTGGAGAGCTCTGGCAAAGAATGGTAAAGAGGCTTCAACTAGTCTAAGGTTTGGCTCTAGAGTACATCAGAAAATTTGACAGCCAGAATAAGGAGAGTTTGGACACTGGTAACTAGAAGAACAACCAGACAGGCAGAAAAAAGAGGATCATTACATGCACATCAGTCCATTTTCAGCAAATCTCTACAATTAGTTCATAGTGAATTTAAAACCTTGTTTTGTTTTGCATATTAAATGGTTTTCCAAGTGATTGTTTGCTGGAGGAAATGGCAACTTCACAATATCATTCAGAAATATTGTGATTGAGGTGTCTTGTCTTTATTGTGTGTTTCAGACCAAAAGGATCAAACAAATTTAGTTTGGGAAGGAACCAATCCTGCCCTGCAGCCCATACGAGTGAGAAGCAGTGCCTTGAAAGATACTTCACATGATGCTGCTTCACCCAGCACTACTGGCGAGACTTCAAGAAATACATCAAATCTATAGAAAGGACAAATGAAACCTCCCCAAAGACTGAATGAATGATGACATTGGTTTTCAAAAATCTGGTGAAGCAGAGAGAGAACATTCTTCGTATTCTTCTTTTGTCTCTTCAAAGTCTAATGTCAGAACCAAGTGCTGTTCTTTGTATGTGTGGGGCCATACTTAACTCTGAACTTATGAAAAACCTGTCTTTAGGTTAAGTAACTTAATAATAAAAGCCTCTGAACAACATACATGGTGCTGAAGAAGCGTAGGCCACATGTGCCTTCCTAATTCACCTCATCAGTTTGGAGGAACCAATGGCCACAGGAGTGTCCACAGCCCAAAACACAGTGAAACATTCACTTTTTATTTTAAGAGAATGATAAGCCCACTCAGTGGTTTGATAATGAAGCAATAGTACAGTAAGAACTTATTCCTGTAACTCACTTGGAAATCATCAGAGATGATGTAAGAGTTACAAATATCTGGGCACTGTTCAGAATGTTAGGAGAACAGGTAGCAATCTAAACTGTGAGAAGATCAACGTGTATTACAGCTGCTCAGCTTTCTCTGCCTTCAAAGCACTTCTGAAGTATTCACAACATGACTGCAAATCACAGAACTATTTACTCACCTTAGAGACCTAGAGAATGTATGACCTGCTCAAAGCCTCTAAAAGCATCACTGGCTGTGCTGTGATCAGGATCTGGTTGTTGCTGGCTCTCAACAGGAAAGCCATGGGTTCAGTTAGTGCCGCTTCATGGTCACCACTGGCCTGGTTCCGTCCTCTGCTGTCCCTGAGCACTCTCTTGCAAAGCAGAGAAACCTGTACAGAAATATGAGAGGTCTGGAGTACTGCCGAAGTGGCTGTAGGTAACCCAGCAAGGAAATGAGCTGCAGTGAGGCCACCTCAGGCAGCCAGGCAGGCAGGTTGCCATCTGCTGTTTGCTGTTGCTGTTTGGGGCTGATGAGAATGCTCCTGGGAGCACGTGGCCCCTACTAAAAAATATTGCACACCCTGAAGTGTAGCAGTGGCAGAGATGTGGAAGCTGATGTTTCATCACTCCCAGCCACCAGACAGGATGGCATGGAGAGGGCATCTCTGCAGCTATCTGCTTGCACGCCTTTGGGCCTTGAACACAGCTTTGGGCTCTCCTTTAACAAGGAAGTTTCCATCACAACAAGGAAGTTACTGCATTTCAATAAGCTACTTCTAAAAGTAATATATTTCACCCTAGGGAAGAGCAATTTTCCAGCTTCAGTGTTATAAGTTTTGTGCTTTGAAGAGACCTTTGTAACATGTAATTTTAATTTTGTTTTAGCTAAGATTTGGATTTTCTTCTTGACAGTGCTGCACTACCGGCCACTCAAACCCTGCTCAACTTGCTTGTAGCCATTTTATCTGAGTATCTTGTAAATATTTGGTAGAACACTCAGACAGAGAAGTGTTTTTTGCTCTTACAGTCACATGCCTGGTTCCAGGACCTTTAAGAAGTACAAAAGACTGAAGGCAGGGAAAATTCCACTGAGCTGCATTCAAGTCTCCAGGGAGCAACTACACTCTGTTTAGACTAAAATTTCTCATTGCTGTCTCTCCCTATTTAAAAAAAAAGTAGAAGGATTGAGAGGGGAAGCTGGAGGGTTTCATTGTTATAAACACCAGAATGCAAGCACTATTTTCACTTATTTCTCTCATACTGTGGAGCCATTTGCAGTTAGAGAGGGAGATAAGCTTTTCAGTGCTCTCTGGACTACCTGGGAAATTTCCATCAAGTTCTAAAATGTTTTACAAATATTAGTGAATTAAAGCTTAATCCCCTTCTTCTCATCCCCATGAAGCTATTACAGTATAAAGACAGGGCTAGTGAGACCCAGGTAATTGTGCTTTGCTGAAGTCACAGGGACAGCGTGGTAAGAGAACTTGGGTCTTTGAGCTTTTCCTCTTACACTACAAACAACACATATTCCCTCCCTTTCCAAGGCTTGCCATATTTCCCTTGCTAGGATATAGTGAAAACATTCTGGCCTCACACCTTGAGACAACCTTGGATTTTCCCCCTTGCTCACAACTGCTGTCCCATGGAATTAAGGTGTTGAAGAGATCAAAGAGGAATGTGAGATGGGGAGAAAAAAAAAAATCAAGTCACTACTCTGTCTGCCTTGGGTGTGTTCTGCCTCCACTGCTGCCAGTGGAGCTGGTGTTATGTTGGGAGCGACCTCAAACACGTTTGTATGTACTTCCATATAATATTCAGGCAGAACTGTGGTAAAAATGCCATAATCAACAAGAGAGTTTGGCTGACAAGTAAATTGGACAGATGAGCCAATAAGTCACTCTTGTATTGAATAAATGTAATTTCATTATCCTTCTGTATGTGACCTGCATTTCTTACTGCTTCTTATTATTAGCATCCTGTAACAACAACTGCAGCCATCTCTTTCACCTCTTCAGAAGAGGAGGATAATCCATCAGCCAGTTCTTCTCCAGTGGTATGAGTGAGATTTTTTCCACAGGAATTAATGATCAGTTGAAGAGAGCTGTTCCCAGCAGGGCCAAACAAAAAGTAATGTGTACATGAGTAATGAAGTGGAAGAGAAGGAAACAAATCTATAAAGTTCTTAAATTATTTTCCCCTTAACTTCCCTTGTTCACACTGATAGATAACCAGACATGCAAAGCTGGATGCATATTGACAGTGACCAGTGTAAGCAGGACTGAGAGCTTCTCCCACTGTGCAAACCTGAAGTCAGTCAGCTACCAAACAAGATCAGCATGTACCAGCTATTCCAGCCCTTGCAGATGAGAGATATCTGGAGGAAAAGCAGTCCTCCTGTCTCTCCTGTCACCTTACAACATACCCCAGCACTAGAACCTTTGGACTCTTAACGCTGTTACCTTTCGTGACAAGGCTCCAGCACTGGTCCTTGGGTAGGCTGCTTCTCTAGCACCCTTCCCTGAACAGGATCCAAACTCAGTGCAAATGCTGTGCACAGTGCTCATTTCATTCCCTGCTGAAAGGCAGCCAGGCCTGAGGTGGAACATGGCAAGCGCTTCGCCGCACCTGGCAACTCCACACAGCTGCTGAAAACAAGCAAGGAAGAAAGCCGTGTACAAATGCAGGGGAATTTTCACATAGGCAGGATGTAATTAGCAGAGCTGGAATTTGGCCAGGACACTGGGGTTAAAACACTGGCTTGCAGGTAACACACTGGGGTCTTTCATAATTCAAATGCTCAGGATCTCCCATTTCCATTTTACCTGGAAGATGTCAGAGGACTGTTCCCTATTTAATGGTCATGGGCAGCTCTCAAACATCTGACAAAGGAAGAAGTGTCTAAATGGTGCTGCACCTGCAGAGCTTCTCTGCCAGCAACTGCCCACCATGAACAACAGCTGAAAGGATCACATCCTGACAGGACCACAGCTGCACTGCTGTAAAACACACCTCCATGCCTTGGGGTTCACTTCACCCCTAAACCTCATTACTCAGTTTTTTGGCCCCAAATCTGTTCCAAACAGAAAGAGAAGATGATAAAATGAGGGCAGCACCTTACACATAAAACATAAGATAGAGAATATTACCATTGAGTGTTGCTTCAACCCTATTCTGTGCCATTTGAAATAATACCAGATAGCTGTTGGACAAGAGAGAATTTAGATGAAGCACTTCCCCCCAGTGTAGATGAGAGAGCTTTTCCAACTGGCCTTGCTGGTAACACACAGAGCATGAAGAGCTTTTGCCACCTTCTTCCTTCCAGCAGGGAAATCATGTTCAAAGCAGCAAAACATTTTTTTCCACTTCATGATCTCACTTTCTGTATAAACAATTTTTCTGTTTACTATGAGGATGTTGAATGTCCACAAAAGACCGGAGAAGTCATTCATGAACCTCACATGTATCAAGTCTGCATGATGTTTCTACCATGATGTGGCCCACAGTAAATAATAATTGAAAACCTCTAACCCCTTGTCAATCAGACCTTCCGACGTGCAGTCAAAGAGCTGACTTCCCCTGTGTAGTGCAGTGTGTGCAAACAAAACAAGAAGTGTTCCTGCCATCTGAAAAAGCATAATCTCTGCATCAGTAAGTCATAAAAAAGGGACCCCTCCTCTACCTCCGAGCTTAGCATACCAGCCTTTGGTTTACTAGGGAAGGAGGAGGGGATGTATTTATATGCCCAGGCTGCCATGCAAGCCCCCTCTTTGTCAAGTGTTGTTTAATACAACCACCAACCAAACTTGATGAGAGTACCTCAGTCAGTGGGACAACAAACCTACAGACAGCCTCCAATGGCAAAATGCACTGCGGAGAGTAAAGAACGGGCAGCTGCAGGCAACAGGAAATCCAGCACTAATAAATAAAATGTCTTATAGCCAGAAAGAGGAAATAAACAGCAGCAGCACAAACTGAGAGGACAGAAGAGAGCATAACTGTGGCATGGGAATCACTGAGTTACAGTGAGCTTATTTTTACAGAACGTTGTCCCGGTTTGCTATGTGTTCAGACTGCAAAAAAGTGGGGGAGTGGGGGGACTGCTCAAAGAGAGGGTCTCTATCAGAAGTTGTCAACAACCACTGTAATTAAGGAAGCAGCCAGAGCACACACAACCAGAGCTGCTGCCAAACTGAAATGAAAGCATTTTTTGTTTTCAGCTGTAGCTCCAAAGGATAATAAAAGATGGTTCTACCATGCCAAGTGAGGAGCTGCAGGGACACCATTTCTTGATGGCCCTCCTCCCATCTTTCCAAAATTATACACTGTGGGGAAGCAGTGAGTTACAGTTCCTAAGTGTGCTTTCAAAGCCTGTGCCCGCACACCCCATCTGACTGCAGCCACCTGGGAAGGCTGGCCGCAAGACAGGTGGGTCCTCAATCACCATGGTGACAATGGAGGTGGCACCAGCTGAGCTCTTCCCCCAGCCAGTGGGGTGTTCTGGCACTGCTTGGTTCAGATTACTGGAGCTGCAACACTGGATTTTTCTCCCCTTGCCCTCAGCTATAGGTTTCACCACAGCCCCATAGCATTGCCACCACCAGTGAGATCTGTTACATTCAGAAGAGCCACACGCCACTTTCTTCCTGAGGACAGTTGCATTTAGGGGGCTCACTGGTGCCTTGGCAAGGACTTTTGTTGGTGGCACACCAGCACCGTGCTCTTCTTGCTGCTGACAGCACAGGGGGCCTGCACCCATGCAGCAGCAGGTGCTGGGGAGCGGCACGTGAGCTGGCAGAGCCCAGGAGGTTGGCATGGATCTTCAGCTGTGGGACATGTGGCTTTCACTGGTGGCTGTAGAAACTGGTGTGCAGGTTCAGTGAAGGGAAAGAAGTCATTCAGAAATTGCATGCATATTTCTGAATTCATTCATTGCGTGGTGTTTGCCTTTCATCCTCCCCCCTGGGCTCTGTGTGCATTGCTGGCATTCTCTCCCAATCCTATATAATAATTCCCAGATCTCCACAAGCCACTGCCTGCCAGTGGAGCCCAGAGTCACTGGCTCGCCAGCCCGGTCACATGAAAAGTTACACGCAAAGGTTTAATGCTTTCTCCTGACCCCAGCCCCTGTTCCTGTGAATCCCCTGCAGTGTTTTCCTAATCAGGTGCCAGGGAAGCTTTGCACTGAGCAGGGTGCTAAGAAGGTGGCTGTTTAGCTGCAGCATTTCCAGAGTCTCTGAGCTCTCCCGAGCCGTAAATACAAGCAGTGGAAGCAGGTGAATGTCTGTCAAGGTTGCCATTTAGACCTGAAGCTGCTTTCCAAACAAAGGCACGTTGCAGTTGCCTCACTTGCTCTTTCCCAACTGCTGCACTAATGGTTAATTGCTTCAGCAGGCATGGAAATCACTTCTCAAAGCCTGCATACACAGCTATGGTCCAGTAGAATTTTAACCTTCACTGGACATTGACAATATGTCTGTTACTAGGGTGTCAAAAAAAAACCACAGCCCTTCCATTACCAAATTCTAGATGATGCAGGTGTTTAGTTCATCACACAACTTGTGAAAGTGGTAACATACTGACTTTTCTGTCACACTTATATATGACATATCAGAAAAAACACATGCTTGTGGAGAATCTCAAATGGAAGTGATCTTTTCTTAAATGTGGATGAAAGGCAGAAATATTCAATGGCTGTTTCTGATATATCAGCAGTTACAGTAATTTCCTGCTATCAGTGTTATGTGAGGGAGGGCAGGTATCTCCTGCAGGAAGAGTTCTTGTTCTCCACCTGATGTTTTCATGTAGGATTTCACACATGGCAGTGTATGATTCATGCTCAGCTTTTGGAAGCATGGGAGTTGTGTCTGGCAGTCAGGGCACAATGTTCCTCTGGGTTTCATACAGACCACAGAAAGACAAGCCAGTTGTACCTTTGAGCCAGACAGTTGGATAATCAAACTGAGCATTTGATTTCAATTTTGGTTCTTTTTTATTTTTGAAGGCCAAGGATACAGCTTATACTTAGAACTCCAGCCTATACCTACATTTTTGTGGGTTTAGGTGAAAAGACCAGGTAAAGTTTTAAGTTGCAGTCTGTTTATATTGTTCTGATTTAAGCTCTATCATTATCAACATAACTTTTAAAAACAAACAAAAAATCCCCCAAACTGACAGTGTTTTTCAAATTCTCTGCTTTCTCATATATTCAAAAGTGTAAGCCTGTCGTGCTTGGCTGACTGGCTCTTTGATTATTGCTTGATATGACATTGCTTCATTCTTAACTGTAACCATCAAAATCATCAAATCTGAGTTCTAGTCTCAATTACACTCAAACTCAAACTTCTTAGTATATATGGTATTTAACAAACTTTGCTTAAATTGTATATTCCCAACTCATTCCAAGCAGGAGTTGAGAAATCCTGCTTCTCCCCGATGAGAGCATGCCTGAATAATATAGGAATTACTTTTCTCACTCAAATGCATTGGCAAAATACATGCATAAATACTGGGATTTAATCAGCCAGTGCTGTCTCTTTATTTAATGGAAAAACTTATTTAACCATTCAGGAGAGATTCAAGCTACCAGTGACAATGCAGGCAGGTCTGAACACCCAAATGGTAATGTGTGTAGAAGAAAGTGTGAGTTGGTGATGTCTGTGTCTGTAATCAGCTGGCATTGTCCACCCTGCCACACAACAGACAGACCAGCAAGAAGGATTTTCCATTTCTGGAAAGTGCTGAAATGGGGGAACACAGCGATCTCAAAATTGTCTTTCCTTCTATG